TATGCATGACTTTGTATCTAGGATGTGTTGATAACTATGTTGGAAAAAAGAATAGCATATGTAATATATGTCTGTAACAAACAACTTTCTACTATCCAAAGAAAAAGCAGATTGAAGCTTTACCTCTCTATGAACGTGCATTAAAGATTTATGAAGACAGCTTTGGTCACATGCATCCTCGTGTGGGGGAAACTCTGAAAAACTTGGCTGTGCTAAGGTAAGATTATATGCTTTAGCCCTATAAAAGCAAATTCCTGTAAAAATTACTGGATGAAACAAACCATCCTGCACTTGTGTACTTATGAGTGAAATAGAGAGCCTTAAGTACACTTTGTTGATAGCATGGTGTGCATTTCAATTTAAATGAACTGAGAGCCTTTTTATATTTGCTTGTTTCAACATTGTTTTACTCCTGTTTAAAGCTACGAAGGGGGAGACTTTGAGAAGGCAGCTGAACTTTACAAGAGAGCCATGGAAATAAAAGAAGCAGAGACTTTGTTGATAGGTGGAAAAGCAACTTCTCGACACTCATCGAGTGGAGACACATTCAGCTTAAAAAGTGCATTATCACCAAACATTTTCCTGGAACATGGACAAAGGTGATACAGACCTTCTCAAAGAAAAGGCAGTCTCTATTGCTATTTTAAAGCAGACATAAAATTATTAAGCAAATCTTATTTTTTCTGGGATAACGTACTATTTTGGGATCGACACCTGTCTTCGTGAATGACAGGGAAACAAATGTTTAAGCTTGAAATGTTAACTTTGCATACTGTATGGTACAAAGCAAGCTTCTTTCATTGTATATAGATATGCATATTAGTTACTAGCTCAAGTTATAGCTAATACCAAAAACATTTGGATTTTATACCTCGTAGCCTAAGTGCCAGGATTACAACAAGTTAAATTGAACCAATTGTATATACTTTATCGGGTAGTTCTTACTTCTATGTTGTAATAGCCTGGCCTAGAGGGTTTGTGTGGTTTTGTTTCATCAATCCTTTCTGCCTTTTCAAAAGTCTTTAAAATTGTTTCTAAAGAGACAGTAATTTTGAAAAAGTCAAAATACTGTTCCACCCAGAGTTTCACCTGCAGGGTCATTTCAGCTTTAAGCAAACTTACATTCAAGGGACTTGTACAAAAAAAAAAAAAATGGTTTCCTTGGGAAGCTAATATATCTAAATATGTCATCATCTACAGTTAAAGCTGTCATCAGATTCAACTGTGTTCAGTAAAAATACTTCCCCTAAGGAATCAGAATGAAGATGCTTAAGACCTGATTCCCTGTTGTTAACCCTTTAGCATTACTTTCAGTATTTATCTCATTGAGTCCCTTAAAATACAAGAATGTTTATATTAGCTGGAAAAACCTAGTGATGCCAAAATGGTTTGCCATCAGATAAAGAGATGCTAATGAAATCTACCTGCCTGTTGCATTTCTTAATACCCTAGTCATCTGGAAGAATCAGTTTGAAGTCTGTTCTCATTTGGTGCATAAATCCATGAATCAATTTAAATACATGCTACAAAAGGGCTTTTTATAAAAAATTGAATGTAAGTGAACAATTAATTGAAACCTCACTAAAATGTTTCAGAGGCAACTGATGTAAAGATTTATTTGATCCAGTTCGAAAAAAGCAAATGGCCTTACCTCAAAGACCTCTGCAGTCTTTTTTTGCTTTAAGAGTAGAGTAACTATAACCCTTTCAGCAGTCATTCTGGTTGGAAGGAATTTAATATTTTTGGTAAGGCTGTAACTTGCCAAAAGAAACAGATATACAACCCAAATATGATTTTTAAAATCTAATTGGAAAACAAATCAAAAATAGCTCTTGATGGTATTACAATACAGCAAAGAGAGTTGACACTTCTATAGCTCTCTGGATATTTTCCTTTTACTTCAGAAAAAGGGGTTTTAATCAAAGGAAGTTTTCCCACTGTATTTCAGCCATCTTGAAAAACTGCAAATTAGAAAGTTTCTTTGCAGGACTGTTACCGAGTGAGGAGAGGGGTGGAAAAGAAAAAAAACAACAACAACAAAAAAAACCCCACCACAAACAAATAAACAAAAAGCCCAAACCCTCACCCTTCTCAGCTTGTATCTGTTTCTGTTACCTGCTCTTCTCAGACCTGTTAATTCCCTCCCCTAAAGCCAGTGTTATGAATTATCAAATGCCTGGTCAAGCTTGTCACCTCTGATTTTAACATGTATAACGATACATCTTGTTCTCCTAGTTTTCCTTATTGTTGCTAGCTTAAATAAGAAGTTATTTTCTAGACCTTCCGTGTTGTATCAGACATTCCCCATTTAGTGACTTCCAATTCTCAACTGTTACTATTCTTCCCTTGAGTCACTTCTCTCCAACTTACTCATAGGTTGCATGGTTGCTTTTGGAAGAAAAATCAATCCCTGAAAAGCAGATCCCAACCATCCGTGGTCCATTAGCAAAGACAGTGAGGAAACAATAGCTTACCCTGTCAACCTAAACAAAATCCTTTATCTACAGAAAGTAAAACAGGATCTTGAGTAATAGTAGAGGACCTGGCCATAAGCTTCTGCAGCGATAGCCATAGCGCTCTTAAGACAGTTGTTCATGTATTTGTAATTGTACCTCACGGACATTAAAGTAATTTGTATATTTGGTGCATGCCAAGTATTACTTCTATGTAGGCAAACTCCACCTCAAAACAGAGTGTCAGCAGTTTCAATGGCGATTTAATCATACAGTCAGAATACCAACATCTCAGTAACATTCATGATTGATACACTGTAAACACTGAAAGTTTCTTTTATAAGATTGCCAAATAAACAAAGCTGGACTAAACCATTGCAATATGCTTTAATTTGTTAGTTCATAACAAAAGAAGACATAAATTTCCCATTAGGTTTTACAGTCAGAGTAGATTATACTTGTAAATGTCTTTTTAATTTAAAAATGATCCTTAAAGCTGCTTTTTTTGATGCTGTTTACTTTTAAAGAATTTTAACCATTGGCACATATACTCTTAAAGTATTTTCAGACTTTCAACTTGTATATACAAGAAGAATTTTAAATAATTAGAAAGTAACAGGAGAACTATTTTGTATACGCTGTAAGTGGGCATACAAAAAAGTATATTAATTGGCTCATAAAACTGTACGAGAAGTAAAATGGTAAACAGTTGCCTCTTGTAAAGCTGTCAATCATGTGATAGCAGCCATGTCAGCCAAAAAGTTAAGAGTCAAGATTAACAGAGCCATTTGCTTCAGAATCTCCAGAGCCAGGTGTGTGCCTCACTTTTATTGTTCCCAACAGAAAGGTAAAGCCACAAAGAAATGTAACACTTAGTCTACCTTAGCTTGATCCAAGTGTCAGTTTTAGTTACACAGATTCAAGTACATACTTTTTTAATGATCTCATTGTTCTATTTCCTTTCCCTCTTTGCAGTTCACTTCTAAAATCTGTTTTCTCCAAAACTGAACTCAATAGAAAAAAAAAACAACTTCCATTTTACAGTATAATGCACTACACACAAAGCCCACCCAAAACCTCCCTCACTAGCTTCAGAGATTATTTTTATGTAAATAACAATCTGGTGTCAGCTGTGGAGGAAACACATTTTGAAGTTTGTAACTGTTGCTTCAAAATCAAATATTTTTTAACTAAGTATTCATTCAGCTGCCCTAAGAAACAGAAGCACCTCCACAATATTACGCTCTTTTTACGTGTTGGTTGGATACTGCCACTACCGTTACTAGCTGGTTCTGTGTTGGCTGCATCGTGCTATGGAAAGGTTTTTTGAACAGCCCAAGCTGGAAATATTTGTATTAAACTGCAAAGGCTGAAATTTACATTCATCTAAGCCAAATCTAAATAATGATCAAGTTCTGGATCAGATACCCACAGCAGTTAAAATATTTGAAATTTATACTTCCAGTTCTGCAGGGTACTGGCACTACAGGTCGTGTACATTTACAGGTCAGTTTAACACATGATAATTTAAAAGGTAATGCTACTGTGTTAGCATTATTTACAAGACAAATACAATAGCTCTGCTACTCCACTGCAGATAGTTGCAATACTAAAAAGAGTTCGCAGCACGTAATTTCAGAAACTTTCCTATGCAAACTCAGGTAAAGTATATTCCTTAATATGGCCTTTATGATGGGGATGGATTAGAATTATAGCTAAACTTTTAATAACCAACAAAAATATAATGTTTAGATTTTCAAAGACATAGACAAAATCTCCTGTTTTTTCCAATGTTCCTGGTAATTCTTAGATTTTGTCATGAAAAGCACCTGCCAGCTGAAATAGTGACGTTTGCTAATAACCAGTCTCCTAGTATAATTATCTACTAACAAAAGACTTCGCTTTGTTGCAACATACTCAAATCATTATCACATACAAAACACATAGACAGGTATTTAAGAACAAGCAGTAGTTAAACATGGATAAAACCAGAGAAGTTTAAAAAAAAAGCCATCCCAGAGATACTTAAGGCAGATGAAAAGGCTGAAATGTTCTATTTACTCAGAAAAAGTAACCGCAGCATGATCCATGCTAAGAATTTACAGAGACCAGTGAACAAGGACAAGTACAAGTGCATGGAAAATCAGGAGCAGCAATGAGTGAGGCACGATCATCTACCCTTGACCTATGCAATCTGCTCCAGTGGATTTCATCTTTCACTTGTTCTACACTACATACTGTTCTCATCACATGATAGTGCATATAATGTGCTATGCCTGCCCTTGTTAGTTTATCCATCTCACTTTCTACTGAACATCTGGACGCTGGCAATGCTGAGAAATTAGCACAACTCCGTATGTTAAAGACATGAACAGACATCAGAACATAAACAAGGCAATTCTGTTTCCTTCCTGCCCCAGTAACAGTTCTGTTTCATCAGAAACATAAAGATAAGCTTCAGTGGAGGTAAAAAGGGGGGGCTCGGGGGGGGAATAAATAGTCTGGTCTTCTCAAAATCCAATGTCAATCCAAACCTCCAAAAGTTATACTTAATATTTGTTTTGCTACATGTTTCTCATTTTGGCCATGAGTTCTTCTAGGCTTTCTTCAGACTCAGCCACTGTTTCCTCAGTTATCAGATTCTCTTCCTATTCAGAGCAAGAAGAAAAGGTTAGCAACAAAAATAGCAAACAAAACCACCCCACACAAGTAAGCTTTGTTGCAATTATACCACACCATTTTCCTAGAACCAAGCACTCAATTGCAAGATTAGGCCTAAGTGATTACAAACTTAAATTGTAGACTATTCTGACTAGGAGTTGGAATGTTAAGGCTGTAACACATGCAGATTCTGTGTTCCCTGGGTGTACTAACTGCTCTTTGGCTGCATACAGCTTTTACAAGATAGATATGGTAAAAATTAATTAGTCACCAAAATATCAACTGAGAAATTCGTATTTGTTTTCCCTTTCCTGCCCCGCCAAATACATTCAGTCCTGTCACCTCAGAACTACATTCACACTTAGCATCCATACTTAAGGAAATATGTTTCATAGAAACATGAAACTGGACCATAGAAGGCACCAATCGGATGTACTGAGGTACAGTTTTACTGGAATTGTTCAAGATGGAATTTTATTTTAGGTTTAAAGGGTAACCAAACTGGCTGGTATTATAAATTTAATCTACAACATGTATTTCAAAAATTCTATTACCTTGTTTGGGATAGTATATGCTACAGTAATTCCCTCGGGAAGCTCAGGTACTGGGCCAGAAGCAGCCTTCAGCTCATCTTCCGACATTTCTGATACTAATTCGATGCCTTTGCATTAAAAGGAATGAAGAACTCCATTAAAAGTTAGAAGAAAAAGTTCTTTAATCACTATGTTATCACAGTAAGAGGAAAACTGCAGCTACTTTTCTGAAATAGAAAAAAATTTAAAGCAGAAGGACCTTTGATTTTAACTACTTCATTCCACTATTAATACAAAATATTTTCCCAATAACAATATATGAAATGGTTCTATACAGGTAACTAATGGACAAGAATGACACCTCTCCTATAGGACTTCCTTGTCCTTACCGTTTAAATTTGATCATGAGGACAATTCTCCCAAGGGTAAGCTAAGATTATTTTCCTTATCATGTAATAGGCAGAACGTACATATCTGTTCTTGAAATGGTTATATAAAATGCGCTTACCATTTCTTGAGAAAATTCCTTCTAATTTAAAGCCCTCAGAGGAATCTAAAAATCCATGGCATACTTTAGCACAGTGGTTATGGAAGTGACAAATGCCCTTTAGTTACATATTTAAAAGGAACACATAGTGTTGCCTGACAAATTTGATGGCCTTCTATGAAGGGGTTACAGCAGCAGTGGACAAGGGAAGATCCACTGATGTCATCTACCTGGACTTGTGCAAAGCGTTTGTCACCGTCCCACACGATTATCCTGGTCTCTAAATTGGAGAGACATGGATTCGACAAATGGAACACTCGGTGGATAAAGAACTGGCTGGATGGTCACGCTACTCAGAGTTGCAGTCAACAGCTCGATGTCCAAGTGGAGAGCAGTGACGAGTGGTGTTCCTCAGGGGTCGGTACTGGGCCCTGTACTGTTCAACATCTTTGTTGCGGACATGGACAATGGGGTCAAGTGCACCCTCAGCAAGTTTGCCGATGATAACAAGCTGTTTGGTGAGGTAGACACGCTGGAGGGGAGGGATGCCATCCAGAGGGACCTGGACAGGCTGGAGAGGTGGGCCCAAGCCAACCTCATGCAGTTCAACAAGGCCAAGTGTGAGGTCCTACATGTGGGTCGGGGCAATCCCAAGCACAAATACAGGCTTGGTGGGGAATGGCTGGAGAGCAGCCCTGAGGAGAAGGACCTGGATGTGCTGATTGACCAGAAGCTCAGCATGAGCCAGCAATGTGCAATTGCAGCCCAGAAGGCCAACCGTATGCTGGGCTGCATCAAAAGAAGTGTGGCCAGCAGGTCAAAGGAGGTGATTCTGCCCCTCTACTCCACTCTCGTGAGACCCCACCTGCAGTACTGCATCCAGCTCTGGAGTCCCCAACATGAGAAGGACATGGACCTGCTGGAGCGTGTCCAGAGGAGAGCCACGAGGATGATGCGAGGGCTGGAGCACCTCTCCTATGAGGAGAGGCTGAGAGAGTTGGGGCTGTTCAGCCTGGAGAAGAGAAGGCTCCGGGGAGATCTTATTGCGTCCTTCCAGTACCTAAAGGGGGTCTACAGGAGAGCTGGGGAAGGACTTTTTACTAGAGCATGTAGTGATAGGACGAGGGGGAGTGGATATAAACTGGAAGAGGGCAGGTTTAGATTAAACATTAGGAGAAACTTTTTCACTTTAAGGGTGGTGAGGCACTGGAACAGGTTGCCCAGAGAGGTTGTTGAGGCCCCATCCCTGGAGGTGTTCAAGGCCAGGCTGGACATGGCCTTGGGCAACCTGGTCTAGTGGGAGGTGTCCCTGCCCATGGCAGGGGGGTTGGAACTCGATGATCTTCAAGGTCCTTTCCAACCTAAACCATTCTATGATTCTATGAATGCATCTTCTCACATCTTTCGTATCTTCGGACCATCTTCTGACAAAGATTTTTATTCAAACGTCGTTACATTTTGAGCCTAAAACCTGCACGTTACACTAAAAATACATCATTGAGTTGTGGTAATGTCACTGTCAAAACCTGTGAAAAGCCAGCAGTGATTACGCAGTAGAATTTACAAAAAATAGGTACAGTTTACAATGTGTTCACCCAAACCAATGACTTTAATTGAGTCTCAGTACTGGGAACATCATTTCACCTCCAGTTGATTACTTACCCCAGTCGTTGTCTTCGTGTACTATTTCTTCTTCCTGTTCAATTACTTCTTGTTTTGGTCGTGCAGCTTCTTTTTTCTGAAGGAAAAACACACAAAAAAATAAAAACCATAATATATATAGTAGTCCAATTTTCATCCACAGCAATGAAGACCCAATCTAATATTCACACGTCTATTAAGTATTTAAGATATGCAGTCACCATTTAGAACTTTGTTAGGCATAAAAATGCAGAATACTTTCAAGTCAAAAAAACCCAAAGCCACTGACACTCAAAAAAATATGACTGCCAGAAAGGTTGAGCAATTACTGTAGAAAAAAATATTATCTAACTGAATGCAAGCCATTCTGCCTACCCTTTGCTTTAAGACAACTCAAAAGTACTGTATTTTTAGAAACACATGCCACCATCTGAAGACAAGGCTCCTGAAAATAGCAGTAGCGGTGAAAGTTTTCTTTTACTACAGGTCTGTAGCTTGCTTTGTTCTTAAGACTTTAAGAAAGGAAAAAAAAAAAAACACAACTTAACCAAAATATTTTACCTTATAATTTTCTTGCTGTTTTCTGCAATTTTGGTCACTACATTGTGGGTTTGGCTTCATAGACATAGTTGGAAAGAAATCCTGCATCGCATTGTAACCAAGGTAATAACTCACAGTACCAAAATTTAACAGGTATCTAGAAGCACAAACAGAGAAAGCAGGCTCTTATATACAGGTGCAAACCCAAAAATGCAGTTGCTCAAGGAATAATTTTTCCTCAAAGAACTTTTGAATACACTTTCACACCAGTGAGTTGTAAAGAGTTACTCTAATTGTCTTAAAATCAGCTGTAGTCACCTGACAACAGCATAACCCGGTCCTCTTGTAGTGGAAGTGTGTGAGAACAAGTCAGCTACAGTCTCAGAAAAAATAGTTTAGTAAGTAAGCAGTTTTCTCTTGAGCCTTAATCTACTGCATGAAACACTCAGGTACCCTGTATTACTATGGGAGAGTTTTCAACAACTAATCAGAACCAGTTTAATCTTTACTGTAGGGTCAGATTCGCAATGAAAATAAAGATTTAAATTAAGCTGCAATGTTTGCGTTCTTCATTAAAGAAAAACATGTGTTGCTATACAATTTTATATAATACCACTCTCTGCACAGCTGAAAACGGAGCTTTGTTGTTTGCAGGCACACTTGCAAACAGTACTTTTATTCTTTGTAATTAGAAATTTTTGGATAACTGACAAAACCAAGCTAAAGCTAAAAACAAGCTAAATAAGATCCTAATTCTCAAAGATGCTTGTAAAAGATGGTGCGTCATTTTGAAACCGAGTCCAAAGTTGTTAAAAAATTTTCCTTGCTGATACGTGCAGTTCTTTTAGCAGTTGGAGTCATATTTTAATATTTTCTAAAAGTATTGTCACATGTCATATTGCTATTTAACTATTTTTAATTCATGTCAGGTTTTTGGAATACAAACACTGCAAGAGAAATTATTTACTCTTTGTCCATGTACAAAATTTCAAAGACAAGTCAGCACTGTAGTGTTCCTGTGTATAATTTAGTGATGTCAAATGGGAACATGTTTAAATGCATAACTAAGGGAGTGAAAAAAAAAGTGTATATGTATGCAGTAAGAGAAATTCTTAGGAAAACTCTGAAGACTCTCCCTTACCCCTGGAAAGTTCTGTTAAAAACAGTGGATCCAAGGTAAACACGCCAGTGATTCAAGCAGCGTGTATTTCAGCCCTGTCCAATGATGCCAACACCTTTAGGAAATAGGCCACAAACATATAAAAAGAACCAGACCCATCGTTATGAAACGTTCCTTCAGGTTTCTTTTTCTTACGGTGCTGTACATTGAATAGCAACAACTCAGTCACTTACTTCAGAACATTTTGTACGAGAATTCCTGCCACAACACCCATAGTTGTAGGAAGACTAGCCGCACAAACTCCTTCTCGTTTTAATGTTTTCTCATCAATATTTGCAGCAACTACAAGTGGAGGAGCACACTGAGGGGAAATAAATTCAGTTTAAAAAATAGTGTTAAAAAAACCCTAGCCAGCTAATCCTCATACTCCCTATCTCACAAACAAGACAAATGAACAACTCCACAGAGCACTGCATACCGCGAAACAAGCAGATTCACCAGGTATGATCAGCTGTATGTGTCCTGATACTGCATTTTCACTCACTCCAGATTCCATCCAGATTTGTCCAAGTTCATTGCAAGCCTTATAAACACAGAAACACACACATCAGCACTGCAGAAGTACAATGAGAAAAAAAAAAACGTTGTAAATTGAGAGTGATTAAAGACATTGATCTTCCTGCTTTAAGACAAAAAGGCTATGATCAGAAAAAGGAACATGAAAGGTAGAATAGAAATTGTTTATCAGAGTCTGAGGACAAATCAAAGAACAAGTTAAAGTTGTCCTCACAAAGCTCACCCTTTGTGCTTTCCTGACAAGCTGAGACTTTTGAACAAATACAGGCATTAGCGATCCAGCTATTAGATGCACGCTACAGAATCTAATTGCACAAACTATTTTTAGTGGCGTGGATTCAGTGTGTCTGTGTACCTTCAGTGCATGCAATCTGCAGATCAAGTTAGCTGAAGGATAACAGAAAACATGCCTTTGGAACATAGCCTACAGTGGTTGCTACTATAAAGAAAATCAGTTTGATTAGGTACACAGCTTTAAAAAGACAGTTTTAGTATACAAAAAGTCATATGAAGTATACAATTAGCTATACAGTCTTCAAAAAGTTTGTAAGATTCAACATGCCAGGCTTTGATAATACCTTTATATAAATGGGATAATTTGGAAATACAGAGAGGGCTTACAACACTTAACTCTTTCACTAACTGTTAGCTGCTAGTAACTTAAAAGTCTATAGTTATATTTACACACATAAAATGTGTTTTACAAGAACTGGGTAAAAGCTCAGATTCTGTTTCCTTAAATCAAAGGGGAACTTTCTTAGATGATTCTCGGTAAGTTCCTGTCTTTTCTCTAGTCTGCAAAATTCCTAACAATATTTACAGGAGAAAATCAACCTCTATAAGCTCATGCCTTAGATGGCCTTACCGTGTTAATTGCCATGCGAGCTTCAAAGTTATCCACGCAGCTCAGAACAAGATCAACAGGCTTCCCTTCCTCTAGCGCACCGTTACTGAAATAAGTATCAGAAGTTTACAATTAATTGGTGGCAGGACAAAATACCAACATGGCAACTAACATGCTTCTTTAGAGTACAGAAGCACATGGGAAGTGTGTTCCTAACAAAACTTGTGTAAATGCAGAACAGCATCTTAGATCTACAGTAGAAACAACAGCATGCTGAAGCTGGGATTTAGATACATGCGCATTTTACATTAAGTAAGTTTTACATAGTATGCACTCACAGTACAAAGTATTGGAGAATGGTATCTTTGTACAACATAACTTTTCCCATTTGCAGTTATTTCAGAACTTCTCGGTGAGATCCACTAATAACTATTTTCTTTCTTCATTCTATAAAGCATACCTGAAACTACCCCAGATCAGTGAAAATACGATCTGATCTGTTTTCTATAATGGGAAAATCCTGTAAGACCTGCAGCTTTGGCTGGGAAAATAAAGATGCACTAACAAAAAATATAACTATGTAACAGTAGAAATAAATGCCAACTCTAGAGAAAAGGTCTAGGCAGAAATGTCTTCACATATACATATTTCCCACTGATTTTCAATTGGAAGCCATTAAATTGGAAAGAAAACCCAACAACAACAATAGAAATGTGAGGCTATATAGAACCACACATCAGCAGAAGTTAGCGGTATGCTTCTGCTGAGAGATTTTACCTTATTCTATCCATGAAGTGTTCAAAGTTGTCCAGTGTTGTGATGTTGTAGTTATGTACTTCAAATTGAACATCAGGATTAATATTCCTTATGGAGGAAATAATATAAATCAATATTAATATATACCACGATAACTTGCATTCTACTCCCTAAGTTCACAAGTGCTTCTACAGTCTTAAGCTTCCAGTCTGAAGTCTAGAATACACCTATATTTGTCAAAAATTCACAGATTACATGAGAAAAAAACCCACAACATATTGAAGTGGCAGAGTTTACACCGAACTTCTGAGCAAAATTAGCTATACTTAAAAAGACTTACTGGTTTTCAGAAAACTCACTTTTTTTTAGACTGTAATGGTTTTGGCCAGTACAAAAAGGTCCTTATACTATCAACCATTCCCACAACTATTTTATACTCAAATTTCCAATTAGGTCATGCCACTTCGCAAGTGATTAAGAGTGAAACATCGTTTTTCTGGAGCAGCATTCTGGGTAAATACATTTTGATACCCATTTCTCTAAGTTATACCTCAAAGTATGTTCTGCTGCTTGAACTTTACTTAATCCAGCTTGATGAGGTTGGAAGAAGAGTCTGTTCATGTTTGCCAATTCCACTTTGTCATAGTCAAACAGAAGCAGCTACAATAAAGATTGTATTAACATATGTGAATCTCCAAAGACTCTGCAACCAGAGCACTATGGCAAGCCACTTTAAATAACAAAACGCATTTTAAACCCAACAACAACAAAAAAAAAACCCAACCAAACAACTCTCCCCCACCCCCTGCCATCCTATTCAGTTCACATACAAAAGGTACCAACATTGTAAGTATGTGAAAGGCTGAATTCTAACTGCCATTCACCAGGAACTGATTCCATAAGTCATGAAAACCACTCTTAATAAAAAGCAATCTGTTAATTTGATCTAAACTAAGAATATTCATCAGATTATCTACATGAACACTATCACCTCTTTTATCACATTCCTACTTGTTGTTATGGCATTAACTAGAAACGTGTAATTTGTTTCACTTGTCTTGGCATGTAGTTCTTCAAAAACAATTCACATAAAATACCTACATAATACATAAACTTACTGATTATTATAAATTCTGAATCAACTGACCAATGCCCTTTTCTATGCCTAAGATGTTGGTCAAAAAATGCTCTTTCAGAGGAAGGGGGAATAAACTTTGCAATAAAAAATTGCATCACCTCTGTATTAAGAAACTTCTTAAAGTTCCAAAAGTAAATGGTCAGGCTTTGCCTAGAAATACAAACACTTAAGCCACTCCCCAAATTCCTTCTTTAAAGAAAAGTCCTGTTCTAACTTTGGAGGTTCTTGTTATCTATACACACATCAAATTATTTTTAACTGCTGCTAAATTATAAGCTCTAAGTCTGCCACATGAGGAACTAAGGTTTGTGATACAAACATGTTTTTTATATCTACTGCATTTCAATTTCATGAATATTGACTTGTTCTCCTAACATAAGACTTAATCTTCTATGCAAGTTACACCCTCCTTTTTATTTATTTTGTTTTCCTTTTGCAATAATCCAGTATGAAGGTGAGATAGATGGGCTGATGTAAGGGCACAGAGAAGACAAGCATCCTAGCAAGAATCATCCTCATGATACAGCTTGAGTAAATCAATTTTACTAGCATAAGAAAAATACAGACTCTTCATTTGTGACATTTATGCAACTGCTGGTCTTAAGTACCTTTTTATTTGGGCAAAATCAACTAAATGAAATTGAATCTAACTCTTTATGAAGAAGACTGGTCCACCTACTATAAAGAAGCAGAAGAAGAAAACTCTCATTACCTTACCAATGCCACATCTTGTCAACATTTCAGCAGTCACGCTGCCAACTCCACCTACTCCTACTACTGCAACTGTAAAGGAACGGATTTTCTGTAGAAAGAAAGAAAATACAGGTCACTATATCAAAAGTGGTCCTCACAGGGAAAAAATGCAAGGCTGTTTTAACACAGATAAAATCTTACCTCATAGTCTTTGACTATTCCCATTCTTTTTAACGCCATCAGTCGACTACAAAGGAAAACAGCAACATTATACAGAAAATGCTCTCTATGTTTCTAATAACAATTTTGCTTTTCACATGCTTAAAATCACTTTTGCTTTAAAAATAACCCCACCAAGCACTAAACTCCTGTTTTCCCTGCAGTTGTCATTGCCAGCTAGATACAATCTAAATGAGATAGTAGATACTTTCCTATTAGCAACAGCAATGGAGTACTAAACCTGCAGAAATTCCCATACTTATTCAGTTGATATGAGTAACGTCAATGAAATCAGGAGGACCCATAGTTAGTTTTGTAAACGAATCCCTGATTTACAGAATGAAAGCCTACACTTTTTTCTTTAATGAACCATCTGGCAGCAGGTCAGCGAGAACTCTTCCACTGTTTTCTGATCAATTTGATTAAGGTCAACATAACATTCGAAAAAAATGAATTAGCAAATATCAGGTTGTGAGCATAACTGGAAAAATTTTAAAGTAATATTTTATCATGCTATTGTGTTTTTCATTGAAAGTATCATTGAAAGTACAAGTATCAGCTTGTATTAAAGCAGTTAATCCTGAAAAAAATAACGCATCAGATTTCCAGAACCTGAGCATTAGAAGAGGTCCCAGATGCTAAAGACTTCTCTAAACCAAACTCTAAAATAGGTAAGTTAGAGGAATGAGAGTAAGACCTCATGTAATACCAAAAACCTGTGCCATTTATCAGCAACTTAGCTGAAAAACTCACCAGTTTCCTCTCTCCTCCTGTACAGTAATGCAAGATAATGCAAAGTAACCCCAATGCACACCCCTGCCAGCCCACTCAGGTGGGCAACTGGAGAGCATCTCTTCCCTCCTCCCCACAGAGCACCTGACTGTGGCATTGCCCCGACACCCTCCTCAGCACACCCAGCCCCATCCCTTAGCCCCCTACCCGGCCTAGCCCACGTCCACACGCCTTTTCCCTTTCATCCAGGCCCACAGTCCCAACCCACGCCTGACACCCCATAGCCCTCCCTCTTCCCCATCCCCTACGCCCCGACTCGGCCCCGGGCCTCCTCCCCACGGCTCCGTCCCGGCCCTCTCCCCATAACCCAACGCCCCTCTGCCCGCTTCGCCCCAGGCCGCACCTGTAGGGGTTGGAGTCCGTCACCTCCGGGCTCATGTTCTCGATGCGGGCCCGCGGCGCC